CTCTTGTAAAATAAGTGTTTTGATAAGGGTAATTATGTAAAATCTTATTCTCTATTAAGTTTGTTAATCGACAAAAACAGACAAGAGTGTGCAATGATATTTCAAAAATTAAAAGGACGTTAGTGAAATATAACTTAAATCTAAAGAGTGTCCGATGAAATTCACCTAAGACATTTTGATTACCCAAAACTATGGCAGGCAAAATCTCCTACAAAAGAGTTTCAACATATTATGAAAGCGACTACACCTAAAAAATATTTGGTATCAGACCACTTACCATCTTTATGGTGTTCGATATAGGATTCTCCTTTGTTTTTTTTTTTTTTCAGTTTAATAGTAAGTGTGTTTGAATTAGTTTATACATATTTCGATTAATTTTCTCTTCGGTTCAATCAAAAACAGACTATTCACTCCGAAATTAAGATAATCATGAAGAATAATTTCATCATTAATCGATCTCAAAAAATTATCAAAATTCAAACTCTTATCATTTAAATTTAAAGTTTATTCTTATTACTATGAAATTACAAAAGGACAAAGATTCTAATCTGCTTATGCAATTAAAGTAAAGTATGTCGTCATGTTGAGGCGTCACAGGAGGTCGTATGGACTGTGTTTAAATGGGGGTGGGCAGGCAACGCAAAGCAAAGCAAACCTACATCTACAGGTGGGGTAGTCTCAATCTATGCCCCCTTTGTACAAGTGGATAACAGCCCCATTACTACCGTTCACCATCACACTCGGGTGCAACTTGGACGGGCCACTCACTATCACACCCATTTCTATATTCTACATTATTGCTCTCTTAATTATTAAAATATATACATCTCTCTCTTCATTATTATAAGAGGAGAATATAATGCTATTAAATATTTATGACGATATAATAAAGTATAATACAATTCAAATTTAAAAAATAAATAAAATAATTTTTATTTTTTACGGTTAAGATCTTTTTAAATTTTATTTGACGGTTAATATCAACACCTTAAATTTAATAGGAAAATTAGACCCATAATAATGTGTTTAGAGTGATTTTTAAAAGTGCTTCTATGACTTATAACTTCTCATGAGTGCTTTAAAAAAAAAATATGGAACCATCCCACCACCACCCCCACCGCCGTGGCCACAACCACTATCGCCAACCCACCACCACATCCATCGCCCCACCACTACAACCACATTCATCGCCCCACCACCATTCCCACTACCCCACCACCACCGCTGTCGTCACCCTACCATTATCACCTCTATTGTCCCACCACCACCCTCACCACCACCATCACCGCTGCCACCGCTACCCACACCACCACCATTACCACAAAAAATACCACCGCCCCGACCGCCACCCAACCATCCCCACCACCACCACCACCACCATCACCACCCAACCACTACCGCCACCACACGTCATAGTCCACAATCGTCACCAACTGTTGTCATCCACTCCCACAACACTTACCACTACCAACAACCACCACAAGTTGTCACTCATCACACTTATCATTACCACCATTGTCATTTGTTATCACTCATCACACTGTCGCCCAAAAAACACCTATCATAGTCCACCAACACCACCGTCACTGCCTATCACCACAGCCACAACCATGGTCGTCGCTCAACCACCACCATTACCAACCCCCACCCCTACTACCACCGCTGTCACCCATGACTATCACTACCACCATCGTTAACTAAAATTCACCACCACCATTATCATTGCCACCCCCCCACGGCTATTACCATCACCACGTTCGTTGCCACACATCACAATCATCATCGTCTCTCACCCACTACCACTACCACCGTTCACCTTACTACAATCGGTATTTAAATTCCTTTCTCTCCCATTTATATTTCTGATTTAATTTTGAATATATATACAAATATATTTATTGTTAACCATTTATTTTGTAACTCTGTACTTTCAGGCACAGACAATAACTAATAATTTAATATTATACCTTCAAATTTTATAATTTTTTGTGACTTTTGATAAATTTTGGAGTTTATTTACAATAAAAAATTTATAAATTTTTTAGATCATATTACAATTTATAAGGTTTAAGTTATAATTTTTTTTATGATCATTTATTATCAATCCTAAAAATAAAATTAATCATCAAAAGTTATAAAAAAGAACTATAAAATCAATAATGGCAGGTGTGATACCGAATTTTTTCCGATACAATAGACTTCTCCATTAAAATATAAATCCCTCTCTCTCTCTCACTCTCTCCTGCTTGGTGTAACAAAGCTGGTAGCGGGAGACCCGGTGGTGCAATAATTGTTTTCCCCCCCTTTAATAAGACAGACACCTAGTTTTATAAGTAAAATACAAACCAATTTTGCATGAATATTTTTTGTCTTTTTATTTTTTCCTTTCCCATAACACTTTCATATGCCACAACCAAAAAAATAATTTGTCTAAACTTACTTGCTTATCTCTCTTATTTCTTAAAGGAGAGGTTAGAGATGAATCTCTTTATTTCACAAAAAAAAATAATAATAATTTGTTCTCTCTCTCATGTCTGATGTTTCAAATTAGTAACTACTTAAAATGATTAAATATTAAGTTCTGAAATTTAAAATCCTTCATTTCTTTTTTCTCAATTTTTTTAAGCGGTAGTTCACCCGCTATATACTAGTGGGACATTATACTTATATATACTGATTTTTCACATAAACTTACTATTAAAATTGTTTTAAAAAAAGCCTTAGGAAAAATCTAATCCAGACTCTTAGATTGTACATACGAAATTTTAGACTTTTAGGTCGAACTGCATTTGTGTTTTTATTTATTTATTTATATCACAATTGTCCTATTATATTATCGTAGTACTATCCCATTTACGTATCATATTAATATTGAACTTTGTGCAAAATTACCTCTCCGTACAAGAGAGTAAATCTATGAAGGGTGACCTCAAAAAATTATATTTCGTGAGATATTTAAACCCCTAATCACAGGTTTATGAAGTGGTTAAGATACCACTAAACTAACTAAGCCCTTGGGGTTAAGATCGAACTACATTTCAACAAGTGATTTGATAATTTGGATTCTAAACTTTATTAATTTTGATCAAGTATAATAATTTACTAGTAATAATTCATTCAATTTTGCGATTGGGTTCTTATGTGTCCCATCCCATTGAAACCCAACAAATATAGTAAAAAGTTAATGAGTGAATCTAAACCCAAATTGACAAAACTGTTGTGAGAATCCAAATCATTCCATTACACCATGATTACTACTATACATTTTCAAGCACTATCACAAAGTGACTAACAAAGAAAGGAACAAAAATGGCGGGCACTTTATCGATCTAACATTGGCCAAAAACTACAATTGAAAATTCTTAACCCTTAGATTCCAACTTTTAATCAAAAAGGGAAGATCCCATCCATTCATTGCCAATGGATTAAGCAATCAATTTATAGGTATCTTCGTAGATAGATAGATAGATAGATAGGTGAGACACGCTGCACCGTGACCTCCTTTTCACTAAGCAAACCTCTTTGTTCATATCCATATCAACAGAAAGTACAGGTATTAATCCAATTTAATGATTAATAGAAGAATACAAGTGGGAAATCCTATTACAAAGAAGTGGTGGTGAGAATAAGATTATTTTACAAAACTGCATTTTCTTAAAAAAAAAAAATACAAAAAGTAATAATAGGTTCGCCACTAAAACGGATCGATTGTGTAAAATCGAGCAAGTCGGATCATGTCTAAAATTAAAACTTTAATGCATCTTCGTTATAACATTAATAATAAAAATTCAATATTAAATTATGTAGCATCAATCATTTATCATAAATACAAAGGTAAGAGATCCAAATTGGAGAGAGAGAGAGAGAAAGAACACTTTCATTGGAGGTTCTGTCAAGATAAGCACGTGAGGGGCACCATCCAGAAAATACGACATGTGAAAGGCGGCGGGAAAGTGTGTGGGACTAGTGGCGACTCACGAGATTGGTTCATAAATGAGGAGAGAGAGATAGTTCACGTGATATCTTATTCAATTTATCGTGGGACGAGGATGTTCCAAATTCTCTGTAAATGATAGTATTATGGAGTTAATTAAGCTGGTGGATCAATTACTTTGCCATCATGGTGTATTGAGAAAATAAATTAAAGCGTGTGTTCAAATTACACTTTAATACAAACTACGGTGTATTGAGAAATAAATTAAAAAATTTATCTAATATTTGAATTTTCAAATAAGTTGTCCAAAATTTTTTTTATTTACAATATAGTCCGTTTATGTTAATATCATAATCACTGTTGTAGTTGATCGTAAAATGGTGCAAATAAGATAAATTATTTATTTCACTTTAATTTGTTTTTTTTTATTTCTATTTTATTTGGGTACCTACTTCTTAGATGGTTGAATGGTTAAGTGCATTCTGTTTTTTGAGAATTTTTTTGGCAGATTGATTAATTCTTTTAATCGTTCAAAATTTAAGAACGCTTGTATTATGCTGATAAAAAGTTGTCAAAATCTAAATTAAATCATGTGAGTAATGAGAGAAAAATAAATAATATGCTTTTTGTGTGTCTTGTGTTCAATATGATTTGTGTGCCTTATTAGATATCGTCCTTAAATTTTTAAATAAGACTATTTGTAACACGGGATTTGAGTTATTTGTCTCGATTTTTCTCAATTTTGAAGATAAGATTTTGTATATCCACTAAACTTAGTTAGGCGGATGAAGTTTTGCGCATCAATTCAATCAGGATAGGAGTTGAAGTAGGTATAATGCTGATAATATATAAAAAAAATTAACTATGTGAAAAATATATAAAAGAAATAAACAAGAAAAAGAAAAAAAAATTACGGTTTGGATCTCGGTTCCATTAAATCGCTAGAAAAAAATTCAACTGAGACATAGCGTGCTAAGCAAAGTTATCGTTCAGTGTACGAGTCGTTGGGCGGTGTAGTTCTCACACTACTCAAAGATTCAAAATCATCATAAAATAGACCACGAAACAGAAACTCCAACAGCGCAACACCACCATCACCCACCAACAAGAAGCAGGACAAGTGATTCCAAAAAGAAAATACAAGCCGAGTTAGCATTCACCCATTCTCTACCCTTTCTCTCTCTCTCCCCCCGAGCAGGTACACAACCAAGAAACATAGGTTAAAAATCTGTTTTCAACATTTTTCATTTGAGAACTCTACTTTTTTATAGTTTATACGGAGACCGAGACCGAGAAGGGTGAAACAAGACCCACTTGTCTGATTTAGAAAGCGGAAGTATATTTCTTCTACACGGAGAAGAAAGATTCAGTCTTTGTGTTTTCAAGATTAGAGTAGAAGAGATAGAGATGGGTATTCTATATGACGACGTGGTGATCATAAGTCAGTCTGAGAAAGAAGGTGAACCCACTGTGATCACTGTGAATTGCCCAGACAAGACTGGGCTTGGTTGTGATCTTTGCCACCACCTCCTTTTCTTTCAATTGAGCGTTGTCAGAGTCGGTATGTTTTGCTCTTCCCCAATTCACACTATTGCATGCCAAAAACTTCACGGTTTCTGTTGAATTTAACACTCTCTCTCTCTCTCTCTCTCTCTCTCTCTCTCTATTTTCGTATATATTCATGTAAAGCTGTCTGGATATCTTATTTGTGAAATTGTGATCTGGAAAACTTCTGTGTTTTGATGGTTGTTACATATGAAATTTGTTGGGAAATTCTTGATGGTATTTGGGTACCCGTCTACTATTTATGTTAAGCTCTCCCTCTCTGTCTCCCTTTCTCTCAGTGTGAGATTAATTTGGTTTCTATAAAACCTTGTCCATTCGGTAATTTTTATTGGCTGGTATCTTGGAATTTAATTATCTGCTTTTTCAAGCTAGAGATATGAGAAAGGGTGCTAAATATTTGAAGATTTTGGCTTTTTTTATTTATTGTGTTAAAGATGATTTGTTTGATTTTTCCTCTGACTAGTCGTCATGTAAACGAAACACAATGTGAATGGTGCTAATAAGTGCTGTGCATTGGAAGATTTAATTGGTGTGCCATAGAATTTTTTTTTCTAATTTGTTTCTTTAATTTTGTGGTGAAGATGTATCCACCGATGGGAAATGGTGCTACATAGTGTTTTGGGTGGTCGGAAAACCCAGTACAAGATGGGATTTGTTGAAGAAGAGACTAATGGGAGTATGTCCTTCTTGCTCTTCAGCTTCTGGGATTTCCTTTTACCGAACCGAGATGCAGCCCCCTAAGCCTCCTCATGTTTTCCTCTTGAAGTTTTGTGGCTACGACCGTAGAGGCCTTTTACATGGTAATTCCTTATATATGCGTTTCATGTCTGATGCATTTATGTGGAATATATTTGTTTGTAAAATTTGATTCCCGTGTTTGATGTGCAAATTTCTTGTTCTGAGAAGCATGAAGCGAGTCTTTTGTTCTTTGATTCGGTTGTTGGTTTAGTTTGTTAAGCTTAGATTGATTTTGAATTTGAGTGGACTTTTAAGTTTTGAATTTGATGGTCTAATTTATTGTTCTCTTTCTGACCATTATGATTTGTTAATGCACACTACATGGCAGATTTGTCTGAATTTAATCTGAACAAGTTGTTAGCTTGCTACTTACTGTTTTAGATTGTAGGAAAAACATAAATTTACTTTCATTATAACAAATTTGGAGAAATTATTTGGCAGCTGTAACCGAGGTTCTTTGTGTACTTGAGCTTACCATAAAAAGAGTGAAGGTATCCACCACCCCAGATGGAAAAGTGATGGACCTGTTTTTCATCACCGACACCAGGTTTTCATTCTTGACTTCATCTCGTTACGAGGAGCACTATGTTTTGCTTACTGTTCTTAATTATGTTACTCTGAGATATTGTATTATTTTTACATCGGTGATTATGTGGAAAATTGCTAAATTGTAGCGCTTACTCAGTGGGATTACTTTTCCATTTTGTGTGACACTGTGACCGAGTTAATTATGCTGTGATTGATGGTGGAAAGCCTGGTTGATTATGAAAAACTATGGAAACAAGTTAGAACTGAATCATTTCGTAACAATTACTTTCCTTCTTGATATTTTATTACAAGCAAAATAGGGATAGGTGGGATATATGGAACCTGACTCAGCCTGTCCAGTAGGTGGACAACATCAGTCTTTGAGCAGTGGCTAACATTCTCCACATGTTTGATTTTTTTTTTTTTTGTGTGTGGGTGGGGTTGGTTTTTTTTTTTTTTGGGGGGGGGGGGGGAGGGGAGAGAATAGGACCCTTCCTTGGAGCTCCATTACTCAGACAATTAGAATATTGCAATTGGCTGCTCTGGAATATTGTCATGTAAAGATAGTCTAACCAATTTATAGCGGATAATGTGGAGGATATTTAAGTATTCATAATGCATAGTTTTCTTTTTCTTCCTTTGTCTGCTTTTTCCCTTCGCTGTGGGAGATTATATGTAACTTCAAATCAGTACCAGTTCATGGTTTACCTGTAACCAGTAAATCTTTTCTGTTTTCCGAGTGGTAATGAGGAGGCATCTAGGTCTCTTGGAGCACCTGATAATCCTCCTGCTGAAGTCAATAGTGCCCCCATTTTCATTTGTAGTCTGTCCTAGTTTCTCATCTTCACCCCAACCCCCCAAAAATAATAATAATAATAATAATAATAAATACAACACATACATTTGACAGAGATTTAGAGATGGCTAAATCATCCCTCTTTCACACATTCTTTGTATCTTTTTTTTTTTTTGTAGAAAGTTGTAATTATCTTCTTTCAACATTCCAGAGCTTATCGCATTGTTGAATTGCTTTCAGGGAACTTCTACAGACAAAGAAGAGACAGGAGGATACAATTGATCATTTAAAAGCTGCTGTGGGGGATGCCATGATAAGTTGTGACATAGAAATGGTTGGACCTGAAATTACTGCATGCTCACAGGGGCCCTCATATCTTCCTCCTGCAATCACAGAAGACTTGAGAGACTTAGATATGCTTGATGATCAACAAAGTGGGTCCATCCCATCCAACAGTGTATCCATCACGGTGGATAACTCCCTCAGTCCTGCTCACACGCTTGTCCAAATTGTTTGCCAAGATCATAAAGGTCTCTTGTATGATATTATGAGAACTTTGAAGGACTACAACATCCAGGTAGATATTATTGTAACCTTAATCAATAAAAGGTCATAAAGTATCATAAAATTGATGCATCAATGGCATATGCTTATTTGGTACTACGGGAGATAAATTGCTGGCATGGTCCTTTTTGGAAATTACCTTATTACAGTTTCATTCTCTGTGGGTGATAATCCCATTGCTGTTTGAAAAACTATCACTCTTTTGGATTCTGCTCAGAGTGATATGCATCCTTAAGCGTCAAATACCTAGTAACCTATTGCTTGTTGTGGTACGTGTCATGTGCTTTCCCATCCATACTCATGTTTGTGACCCCTTGTATGTTATCCTTTTCCATGTCCAATGATCTGGAGAATTATATAGCTCAATCATTGGTGAAGTGTAATCTAGGATACCTATTGGGTTGGTTTACATTATCACTACTCCCTGTGGACCCAAGTATGATTTTTCCATTCCATGGTGGACTAACTAATAAGGATTCATGTTATGGTGCACTACATGTATCCTTGTCATGTTTTATACTCCAATTTTGAGGAATATTATACAGTTTATTGACTATGTCACTTAAAATATTTTATTACCGGTGATATAACTTCACTTACAAATTGGACCTAAGCCTTTATCGTCAATCTAATCTATTGTACAGATTTCTTATGGACGGTGTACCACAAAAACGGAAACAGATTGTGAGATGGACTTGTTCATTATGCAAGCCGATGGGAAGAAGATAGTTGACCCTAGCAAACAAAATGCATTGCGCTCTCGTCTTCAGATGGAACTATGTCGTCCTCTTAGAGTGGCTCTGGTGAGCCGGGGTCCTGATACAGAACTCCTGGTTGCAAACCCTGTGGAGTTATCTGGCAAGGGCCGGCCTCTTGTCTTTTATGATATCACCCTTGCTCTCAAGATGCTCAACACTGGCATCTTTTCGGTAATTTCCTAACTACATCGTGCTAACGTTAAAATGGGATGGCATAATTCATGAAATCATGTTATGGAATAATGGTATTTCTCGAATATATGCATTTACCCTGCTCAAGAAAAGGCTCTTCCATTCTCAACTGTCCCTCGGTATTCAGTCCTTTTCCTTACTTCCCTAAAAGCTGAATCCATCTCTTCCTCCGAGTGGTGCCTCACCAAAACTAGTGAATAAGGAAATTCATTCTATTTTTCCTCCCCCTAACCAGTTTGAAAGAATTAAAGAACAACTATTCTTTAGTTTGAGCAGTACTAAATTGATCTGATTGCTTTTTCAGGCTGAGATAGCGAGGCATATGATTGGTGATCGGGAATGGGAAGTCTACAGAGTTTTACTAGATGAAGGGGATGGAATGTCTGTCTCAAGGAACAAGATTGAGGAAGCAGTTTGGAAGATGTTGATGGGCTGGAATGATGATGACTGCTGGAATAATTCTGCTTGGACTGCAACAGGCTATGCCAACATCGATACAGTGTACTTGTCCCGTTTACGTATCTCCTACATGTAAATATGGCATATAAATATACATATCGTAAAAATGGCTGGGCTGGAGCAAATGCTTAGTTGACTACCTTTGTTAGTCTAACCTTCTAGTCTAAAAACACGCGGAGGTTTGGGAGATCAAAGAGGGAGTAAAGTCCTTCCTGGTGCATTGCATATTTCGAAAGGGTAAATGCAGAGTGAGAAATGGTGCTACTATATCAATGTTTCAATATTCTCGAGTGCCTTCTGGTGAGCAATTAGGAGGCCTTAAGCCATGCTGTCCAACAGTACTTCATTGCAAATAGATTCTGGATGGCTGAAGCATGAGTTGTACAGAACATATATATTTACTGCTATGGTATAAAATATAAATATCATTACAGTTTGCCTCCATCATTACAACTTTGGCCTTTTATGAGTTCTTCTCCATTTTGATCTAAGTAATTTCTTTGAAAATCCCCGAATGAAACCATTATTAGTCTGTGGAGAGTCTAAAATTTATCCTCCTCCTCCTCCTGTTGAAATGCATGTGCAATGCACGTGAAAGTTTCTCTTACGAGATAATGTGATAGTTAATTGGGATTAATTGATCAAATAATGAACACAAATGTACATTTAAATGAACTCAGAAAAACATTTTCAAATCATTTATGGTCTGGTTTCAACAGTTACGACTGTAATCCAAGATATTCATGTATAATCAGACCTCAATGAGGAGGGTGTTAAAAGGAGGTTGCCCTCGTGATAGGCACTGATCTTTGGAAGTTTGATTTTAAGATATCTAAGGAGCCATTTTCTGTTGTAGTTTTAAAAGTACCGGTTTAACAACGGTGGGTACGAGTTCAAATATGAGAAAGAGTTTCTATGCCTAAATAGTATCAAAAATTAGACATGTATCTAATTTACTCTTTCCCTAGACTCTGGATTCACAGAGATGAAATTAGATTAGGATCCTTTAAAAAAAAATTTTAAAACACTTGACAGGGAATCATTTTGGCACTATTATTATTGTCTTTCCAACTTTTTGTTAAATAGTAGTGGGTTGTCCTTGCTTATCTCCTTTCTGAAGAGCAGACAAAGCCTTGGTACTAAAATAAAGGAACATATTGGGTGGGTACTTTTCTTGATGATTCTGATTATAGTATTAGACAAGACTAGATTGTCTTTATATATGAATATCAAGTCACATCAGAGACATCTGTCTGCTTATAGTGCATTGATATTTTGTATTCATACGTATTTTTATGACATTGATTCCGTATTTCAAGGAATCATGTTCAATACCCAATTATGTGAAGTCCCATCTCTGATGTCCAAATGATCTATTGATCAAACTAGGGTGGGTGTCCATTCAAATGATTGATTAGCTTTAATCAGAATCAAGAAAAACCGACAATCTGTTGAAGGTGCATCAGCCTCTTAATTAAGATGATAATACAGCAAACATTAGAATCAAGGGGATTAACTTAATAGTAGTTTAGTTATCCGATAAAATCTCTTATGAGGGATAGATAGGAGTTCGAATATCTTACGAAAGATAGCCTCTTGGAGCTGCAACCTATAGATTTATTCAACTATGTGGAAAGACTATTTTGCACAAAGTCTAACATTAGTCCAGTACGTGAGCAAAGTAATACTGTGGTGATCTATTGTGATACTGTGTGTTCGTTGTACATAATGACATACGCTAATTTTTGAAGGGGTTTTTCTCAAATGGGACGAGTCCCTAAAAAATTATACAAATCCTTAGAGCTTTGATTTTCATTGGGATTAGAGCCACATGAAATGGTTCTGATGTGATATTGGTGATTGCTAAAACTTACAATGACTTTCGTAATTGAAAGTGGTGGTAGGGTAAGGCAGTGGTGGTGCCCTGGTGGTGAATTGAGCCAGTGTGATTAAGGTTGCTGGACATAGCATGTGGACAATGGACGAGTGACTAGTACTGCATTTTCTTGCTTGAATCTTTGCTGATGCCTTGTCTGACCTTTTGCTTTGACCTTTCACATGTTTTTCGGCAAATAAACCTATAGAAGGGCTCAATAAAAACTTTGTTATCCCTATTCACTTCATACACAGGCAATCGGAAGGTTTTGCCAGCACTTTTTTTTTTTTTGGGCCTAGCACCGTCACAGGGATTGGATGGCGAAGGGCAAACCCGCACCCAACAGTGGGGTGGCCATTATGCCAACCATTAACCTCAGATTTTGCTAGCACTATTAAGACATGAATGGGTGGTAGTTTGCAACGATATTTGTACTTCATCCCCTGATGTGTTTCTATACGAAGACTCTCCAAACCAATATCTAATGGAAGGACTAGGGTTTGACAATGGGACCAAAAATCAGTAGTTTGATCATAGGTTTGACAAATTTTTATGGGTCAGAATCTTGTCGGGCTAGTGTGTTGGTGTTGCAGGCCAAACATAACGGCCTACAGCCCTACACTTTAGAGTGTCGGGCTTTCAATAGTCAGCCACATGGCAGGTTACAGTGGGATTTTCGGTCAGCCCACAAGCAACTGTTTTTGGAGAGAATTGGGTGGCAGTTACTTATGACAGAATTTTAAGTACACTTTTTGTTTTATTATTATTACTTAATTACCCTTACATGGTATCTCCATAGAAAGCCCAAAATTTTGACGGCTTTTTGAAATTTTTAGGAAAATGTTTGACTCCCCACCAATTTCCATATTATTCACCCATCTCTGTGTAACTTCTTTAATCACACTTTAACCATGGTTAGATTACTTTCCATAAAATGTTAGCTCTTTTGAGTCCATTGATCACATTCTATATTCTAATGGTCTGTTTGATACGAACGATGGAAAGGATGAAGAAAGAAAAAGTGAAAAGAATAAAGTTTTTATCTTTAAAGGAAAGAGAGTTATTTTTCTTCTTTTTTGTTTGGTAGGAGGGATGAAAATAAGAGGGATATCTTTTATTGTTTGGTATTGGATGAAAAATGAAAGGAAAGGAAAAAAATGTGTCCAATTTATAATTCTACCCTTAAATATGTTTTTTCACTCTAATAAGTAAAGGGTAAAAATGTTGACTTAAAAAATTATTGTTTTGCCAAATTTGAGCTGAAAACATTTGGTGGGCTGAAAGGATAGAGATTCCCTCCTACTTACTCTCTCATATTTTCCTTTGGTACCAAACAATGAAAATCTTTTCCTTCCCTTCCATTTTCTCTCCCTCACTTTCCTTTCACCCATTTTTCCATCATACCAGACACACTATACAATGCTCTATTTGGTAAGAAGGATGAAAACTAGGAAGGATAGAAAGTAGGAGGGATACACTTTCTATCCTTCAAGGATGGAAAGTAGGAATGCTACACTTTCTTTCTTTTGTGTTTAGTTGGATGAATGAAAAATGTAAATGACTAATTTTTTTTAAATTTTTTTTTGTGCTAGCATAGATTAGGGATGACAATCAAGTCATGTCATGTCAGATTTGTATTGAGTCATAAAATTATGAGTATTTTATATTTCTTGTTCGCGTATCAGGTCATTTTCAAGTTCGTGTCGAGTTATAATTAAGTCTGTGTCATAAAATTCGTGTCGAGTTCGAGTTATGTCATCATGTTGAGTTGAAAATTTTCATTCCTAGTTAAGATGAAATTTTTTTTTAATTTAATTTTTTTAAATTATATATAAATACATATTTTATCATTGAATTTTTATATGAAATTAATGTATACATAATATATATACAAATAAGATACATCTTAGCACAAATAATTAATTTTTCATCTACTTTCTTTCCGATTTCGGAGGGATTGATTTTTGGTGAGTTGAAAAAAAAGTTAATTCATCAACTTTTTCATCCTTCCTATTTTCTTTCCTTACCAAATATGATATTTTATTTATCTCTCCAACTTTCTATCCTTTCAACTTTCTATCTTTTTATTTTTCCATCATACCAAATAAAACATAAAATTCAAGCTTAGCCTTTCGATTTCACCAGTTTAGATTCCTTGGAAAACTCAAAAACTCCATTGGACAATGAGTGCTCACAAACAAGACCTTTGGATTTAGGAGAAGACTACGGTATATTCAAGGACATTTTTGGTACCATACCAAAAATTTTAAATTACAACATTAATAGTATGTTTGCTAAATATATGATATATTTACACCGATTGATAGACAAGACAAGACATTGAAATGACAATACAAGACATATTTTTTAGCCGTCATTAAGTCAATTTGAAGGCAAAATTACAACATTAATGAGAAGTTTATGACTATAGTGAACAAAATTACAACATTAGTGAAAATTTTACAATAGTAGTGAATAAAATTACAAAGTTTGTGACAATATTTACTAAATTTGTGAAAATATTTACAACTTCAGTAATATATTTATTAAATTTATGAGAATATTTACAACTTCAGTGATATGTTTACCAAATTTGTGGAAATCTTTACAACTTCAATGGATTCAAATATTTACAACTTCATGGGGAGATTTGATCGATCATGGGGAGATTTGATCAATACACACTTGTGTGGGCTTAATTTATAAATATTTTACAACTAATCCAAGAAGATATATAACTTCAATGGATCAGTTACCACTTTTATGAGAATATTTATAACTTTAATAGATTCTTTATGGGAATATTTATAACTTCATAAGGAGATTTGATCGATCGTGGGAAAATTTGATAGATCAATTTATAATAATTAATATAAATTTGATAGATCAATATGTAGTAAATTAATTTGATCGATCAAAAATTTATATTGATCGATCAAATTGTTGCAGATGTAGAATATTGGGAATATTTATAACTTCAGTGGGAATATTTATCAAATTTGTGAGAATATTTACAACTTCAATGGTATGTTTACCAAATTTGTGAAAATCTTTGCAACTTCAATGGATTCAAATATTTACAACTTAATGGGGAGATTTGATCGATCACAAACTTACTGTTTTTCAAAAAAATTTGGGGGAGACTACTTCAACCTTGCGATAGATCACAAGATCTTAGGATAGATCGCAAATATTTTGGAGATAAAAAAAAATAATAATTTCGATATATTCCGAATAATAATTTTGATATATTCTAAAAAATAATAATAATTGCCACTTTTATTTACCACTTTTATAAGAATATTTATAATTTGAATGAATTCTTTATAGGAATAATTACAACCTTAGTGGTATGTGTTACCAAATTTATTTGTTTAATTGATCTATCAAAAATATGTTTAATAAAAATTCAATTTTAATTTTTTTTTAAAAAAAAATTAAAATTAAATTTTTATTAAACATATTTTAAAATTGAATTTTGAAAAATCGATCAAATTTTTGTATTATCTGTCAAATTCTTGTGATAGATCATAAACATTCATAAATTTTTTTTCACTATTGTTG